CCCTCACCTCTCCCTCCACCTCCCCCTCACCCTTCCCTCCACCTCCCCTCTCTGCTCCCCCCTCATCTCCTCCTTTGGCATCAGGAGGCCAACCTTTGGGCTTCATAACAGAGGGGAACACACGTGCATTTCACGGGTGCTTGTCCTACGTCCACGGACCACGGGGCCACACCTGGAGCTGGAGTCCACCCGTGGTCACGAGCGGTGTGACCTTGTCACTGTCCTCCCTAGATGAGGCTCACACCAAGGAAGAAAAGGGGTTATTATGAGAATCTCCAGGGATGGCTCCACTTTCAGCCAAAAGGAAACCACCCGTGACACGAGGCGATGGGGTGACTGATTCGGCTCCCCTGCCTCAGAAAGGGGTGGAGCTGTGTGGCTCCAGGCCCGCAAGCGCGCAGAAGAGGCTATGGCCTCGGCTCCCCACCGAGACTTAAAACAACTGCACTCGCCCCAAAATGAGCACCTCCTCCTTTCAACGTGTGGGAGGCAAGAGCCGGGCAGCTGGGGGCGGGCGGGATGGCGGCCTTGTACGGGAAGGCTCCTCTGCAGGCTTCTCCCCGCCCGGGCCTCACACTCCCCCGTCCTGACATCTCCTCCAATGGAGGGCTTCCGAATTTGTCCCCACCACCCCTGCCCCCTCCCACATGTGTTTCTGCATCAGAGGGAACCGTGTGCCTTTGTCAGCACCTGAGAGTCTGAAAGACGCAGGATGAAAGATACTTCAGTGGCTCCAGACCTCGTATCAGGCAGAAAAGCTCTTAATTATGCATTTGGTTTCTCAACGAACTTTCACAGGGACGTGGATGCTTAGCTGAAACGGGGCCCAGGGCCAGGGGGTGTTGCCTAAGCCGCCCCAGTGAATACCCAGAGCCTCACTAGACCGTACTCGCCCCGTCTCCAGAGGAAGATAGATCCACAAGCCGGCCTCGCGATCGCATTTCCTGGGTCTGTTCTTGTCCGCTAACCTGTGGAGTCAGAGAAAGCCAGGCCCCGAGCCCCGGGTGCTGGTTCCGACGCAGCAAGGCCCCCGCCAGGACCCCACACTGTCTTGTCCTGAGAGCTTTCCCTCCCAGGCTGGGAAGGGGGGAGAGCGCCAGAGCTTGGACAATGTCCCGTCGGTTTGCCTCACTCAGCATTTCCCACACTGCTTTAGTGAAGTGGTAACTAATGTAACACAGATTTTAAGAAGGTTTCATGCTCAAATAAGTTAGGGAAAGATGGCATATTACTTGGAGCTAAAAGGAGACTAAAGTTTTTTAAAATTTATTTATTTTGAGAGAGAGAGAGAGAGAGAGCACGCATGCACACACACAAGCAGGTAGGGGGAGAGAGAGAGAATTCAAGCAGATTCCATGCTGACAGCACGGGGCTCAATCTCATGAACTCTGGGATCATTACCTGTGCTGAAGTCAGACGCTTAGCTGACTGAGCCACTCAGGCACCCCAAGAAAGAGAGAATCTTAAGCAGGCTCCACGCTCTGCACAGAGCCTGGCATGGGGCTTGATCCCATGACCTGGGATCATGACCTGAGCTGAAGCAAAGAGTCAGACACTCAATCAACTGAGCCAGCCAGGTGCCCCAAGAGAAGGAACATTTTTAACTGTATTCGATCCAGCTTCCATAATTGTTTTTGACTCTGGATCTTCCCGTCCTAGACACACACACACACACACACACACACACTGCTATAATATGTTGATGTCATTGGGCATAGTTTGAAAACACTGCTGTAATTTGCAAAGGTTGAATTTCCCAACAGCCACACCAGATCTGTAACGCCCATGGGCCCCTCCTGATCAAAGCAGTAACAGCACTGACAAACCTGTGTTCATCTGTTGGCACCCTGTGTTCTCAGCACTTCTGGAACCTCTTTCGGAGCCACTATCCCAGCCCGCCTGGAGCCTCAGATCCGAGCCAGCACACTCTACAGCTGGCTTCAGGAAACAAGGCGACTCCATCGCCGCCCCCTGACTCTTCCGGATATCAAATCTGGAGGAAAAGGTAGGTGAGTGAGCAAGCTTGCCCTTCTCCCTCCTTCCTGCCCACTTTCTCTCTGGCCAGACTGGCCTCACATGTCAAAGTTGCTCCTTGGCATCAATCAGAGCCTCCCAAACGCCACAGAATTTCCATCAAATAAGTTATGTCACTTTATAGGATAAGTTATGCATGGACAATACTAACATCACCAAAGAAACAAGTCAAATTGCCTGAATGTGGAATTTTTGATGAGCACGTTGTTTTAGGATTTTGGAATGTCGACATCTCCCCCAAGAGGCTTTGCTTTTTTACTCTTTTCTCCCCCTAGATCATAACAAAACATCATGCCTCATCATCAGTTTTGTTTTCTCAAAAACGATCTGATTTTCCGTCTTTGAAATTCCAGAAAAATGCCGAATATGCACTTTCTGGGTTTCTTTCAAAATGGGAAGCACAATCTTCACCTAATCATTGTTTCTGCAGAATGAATTTTTAAAAACTCAGATTTCTCCTGTTTTTCTTGCAAGTTACCTTGAACTTGAAGGAACGCAGCCTCTGAGCCCTGGGCATGTGAGGCGGGTGGCCCATCACAGGGGTCTGGCCTAAGCTCCTAAAGCTTCTCGGGCTGATAAGACTCCTGCTCATCACATAACACCAGCCTGTCACCTTTCTTTGGCATGTTCAAATTCATCTAACTGCAGACAACTTGGCATTCGCTGTTTCTAAAGAATGTTCATGTTTCAGGTCAACGGGATCCCGGCAGCTACCGGCCTACGGCAGAGAAACGCTCAGGAGGGTCAACGCTGTGGCTGCCAACATTTTAACATGTCACTAATTGGAGGCCGCAGGCAGGTAACTCTGACAGACAGAACGTGCAGGGAGGGCCTGGTCAGCTTCTGCAGGGGCTGCAGAGACGGGCAGATGTGTGCAGGGGGCAGGTCATCCAGCGAGGTGGGCCGCTGTGAGGGCAGAAAGGAAAGCTGGCTGCAGGACGTGGGCTCCTTTGTGTGAAAGCTCCTCCGGAATGTGACCTCCCTGCCCGCCCTCTAACGCTTTTCTGATCATCGATTTTTAGACAAGAAAAGCTCATCTGATGGCCGAAGACAGACCTGCAGGGGCCGCCCTGAAGCCACCGGTGTTCTGTGTAGACGCCACCACGCAGGGGGTGGTGCAGAGCATCCCGCTGGAGCGCCGGTGGGACAGATTTGATAAAGGAGAGCAGAACGTCGACGACTGGAATCTGCCCTGGAAGCCTCGTCCCGCACGGCGGAGCGCGTCAACGTTAAGCCGTGGCAATGGCTGAACCACCGCCCGGGCGCCACCGAGCGGCGAGGACCACCTGGCCAACCGCCCGAAGCACATGAAGAGGATGCACGGCGCCACCCGGTTCGAGTTCATCCTGCTGACCTTCATCATGCCCAACGACCTCAGTAAGTTCATGGCTGAACACTTCCGGGAGAAGCACGTGCTGGGCACCAAGCGCAGCTACTGGATCTGCAAGGCCGCGGCGCTGTCTCGAGGGAGGGGGATCGTCATCTTCAGCGACATTAAAGACTTAATCTTGGATGACACAAACATAGTACAGAAATATATCTGCAACCCTTTCCTCACGGGCAGATATAAGTGTGACCTCCGGATCTACATCTGCGTCACGGGCTTTAAGCCTTTGACCGTTTACGTTTATCAGAAAGGGTTGTGCGGTTTGCCACGGAGAAGTTGGACCTGAGTCATCTGCAAACAGTTATGCCCACTTGACCCAGCAGCACCCACAAGTCTGGGGCCTCGTGTGAGAAAATCAAAGAGGTGATCAGTCGTGGGTGCAAGTGGGCCCTCAGCCAGTTCTTCTCTTACCGTCGCCGCTGGGACAGGGACGACCTGCTTCTGTGGCAGAAGGTCCACCACGTGGTTATCCTCACCATCGCTCCCTCAGTCCCCTTCGCTGCCAGCTGCTTCGAGCTCTTTGGGTTTGATATTTTGATTGATGACAGCTTGGAACCGTGGCTGCTGGAGGTCAACGTCAGCCCTGCCCTGTCCGTGGACTGCTCGGCAGACATGTCAGTGAAGAGGAAACTCATCCACAACACAATTGAACTGACTTATTTTCAGGGTCTGAGACATGGGAGGGCAGAACGGTCACGGGCAGAGTGTTTAAGGACGAATCTGCCGTGAAGAAGGCTGTAAAAATATGTCCCTAAAGTAAACGCGCCTCCCAGCCTAGGGAAACGGCGAGCCGGAGGAAGGATCTCCTCCTTTCAACAAGAGAACCAGCCCAAAACCAAGCCAAAGTTCAAGGGCAGACACGCGCCCCACAAGGTGCTCATTCTGTTCATTCGGTCGTGGGCGCACCAGACGGGCACCTCCCTGCACGTCGCCGCGACGCCAGCAAAGCGCCAGATCCCAAGCAGGGAACTTTGTTCTCATTTTTCCTTTCAGTGAAGCTACTTTCGGAGCTTCCAGGAATGGATTACGTGTCAAAAGAATAATCCGAGAACTCCAAAAACCAGTGAACAAGCAACACGCCCACGTGGCGGAAAAGGAAACAAAAGGAAGTGACACAGCTTCGGGAAAACCAAGGATCCCCTTGGGGGGCACCGCGGTGGCTCAGCCCCGACCCTCCGCATCCGGCACGTTGACCGTGTCACTGGAGCCACCGACGTGGGTGTAAATAAAAACATAACAACTCTGACAAAGCAGAGCGTGCGCAAATGGTGGTTAAGTCACGTGACCTAACTGGCTTCTTTGCTCCGATTTCTTGGGACAGTAGCACCCAGCCTCCTGCCTGTGCTGGAAATGCTTTATCACAGTTATACTGTGCGTTTATTGAAACACGAAAAGAAAAGATTATCAGAATATTTCTTAGGGACTCTTAGGTGAAAATGGTATAAAAAAGGTTAAAGGTTAACTTTCTGTTTTTTAATACACCATTTTATGTTCAATATTATTTTTGTCAACTTAATGATCAGTCATTGGTGTGAAGCGAATTACAGGAAGCCTCCCCACCGAGTACCCACGTGACTGTTATTTATAGGTCCTGGGCCTTGAATCAGACATTGTCCTGCTTTGCTCCCCATGGCGGGTGGGTGGGGTGGGGAATCCATCAACCTAGCGGCTGGCCCTGTCACTGATAGATTACCATCCCTGGGTGCAACCTCGGAATCTTCCAGATCCTCCAGCCTTGTCATTCTACCACTTCAGAAAGCACTGAAGTGTCCTGAGATTCAAATGCTCCAGCATTTTCTTGAAAACATTATGCTGAGTGAAAAAAATCCAGACACATAGTAGGATGCCACCCTCAGGAAGCGTCCAGAGTTGGCAAATCTAGACGCAGAACGTGATTGGTGGTTGCAGGGTCCCAGGGCTGGGGCGCGGGCCTGACCGCAGGTGGGAGTGGGTTCCTTCGGGAAGAGGAACTATCCTGGTGGTGGTCACACAGCACCGTGAACGTGCTCGATGCCACTGATGGTCAACTTCATGTGATGTTTATTTTACCGCAATAAAAACAGGTTAAAGCAAATGGTGTCCAGGATAGGCCAGGAGAGACTGTTCAGGCTGGGGACACACAGTGGGTGACTCAGACACGGGACAGAGAAGGAAGGGACTGCTCTCAGTGCCCACGTAGGATTCTTAGGGCGTTTGTGCTCGAAGGGGCCTCTGACGGCTAACAGAATTCTACTGCTCCGTCTGAATGGTTCAGAAAAAAAGGGGAGAAAGAAAGTTCTAGCAGTTAGCCGGGAGGCTGGACTGCGTATGCTGTTCATCGCTCCGTTTCATGCGTAAGCACGTTTATTTACTCCCAGCCTTATTCCAGAAGGGGCTTAAAGGGGTCACGTAAGAATATAAGCACATCGAGATTGTTTTGATCTTTTATGTCAGATACTTTTGATCTAAAGTATTTGGCAAGCAAAGAAAAGGTCCATTTCCACAAATGCTGGGGTGTGCCTAATGCAACGAAACCATGTGACTACCGTTACCCGAAGACCAGAGATTCGATCTCATACCCCTTCAGATACTCCCTTCCTCTTGAGCCGGGCTATAACGGCTCGTCAGATGTGAGGATGAATGCTCTGGAGATGTGCGAAGCACCTGCTCTTAAGGAAAGATTATTTTATTTGAGCATGTGAGGCTTTACAGCAATAGCCCTGGGCCACCTGTCAGGAAAACCATGCACGATCTGGGCAGTATAGCTCTTCCACAGCAACGCGTGGGCCAATTAAACTGAAATAATAATGGGCTTCTGTAAGAATTGGCAAAAGCGACGGGAAACCTTACGTGTGTAGAGTGTGTAAGCAGGTGCACAGTTGTGTAAGGTACATGGAGGGAAAGCACAGACACAGTATTCCGGGGGACAACAGTCAAAGCCACAAAGTCCTGAGACTTCTCAGATAGGAGGGAGTCCTTTAGAAAAAACTCCTTGGACTTCCGCCTCCGGGGAAATGGAATATGTGTACCTTTCCTTCTTCCTTCACGGAGCACAATCAAAAGAGGTGAGAGCATCTCGGGCAAACATAAGGAGTCACAGCGGGGAGAGAAGGCAGTCCCACTAGGGACCCCAAGAAAAACACGGTGTTGGCTTTGGGGACTTGGGGACTTTTCCCTCATACTCTGAACTGGGTGCTACAGGAGCCGGCAATGCCGCAGGCACAAGGAGCCAAGGCTCGCTCCGAGCAAAGGACCAGGAGAGGAGCGGCCCCAGGAAAATTTAACTAAAGGGGCCTGAGAGACTCTGGGCTCTTGGACTCCGATCTCTGGGGAGCTGGAGGGTCCCGAGGTCAGACGTGAAGGCTCTGACTTCAAGACTGGGTCCCGTCTCCCTTTGACTCGCGGTTAGCAGCAGCCAGCAGCAGGGGACACAGGACGTCATGAGGATCTTCTGGAAGGAATGGGGAAGTAGGAGAGAAGTGCGCCCCTGAGACACAGAGGTCACACTGCGCTGGGGTGCGGCCCCCACCTCTGAGCGCCCCCAGCACTCACGGGCAGGCCGTGCAGACTTGCTGGGGCGGGAGCCCTGCTGGGCGAGAGGGGAGTCTTGCGGACACGGGCAGGCAGAGGGAGGACCCCCCGAGGTCCCTTCAAAGCCTGAGCTCCGAGACTCTTCTGTCTGCTGAGCAGGCTCCCCATGTCCGCCTGGGCAAGTTCGTGCCCACTGGGGAGGGTGCTCCCCCACCGGTGGACACCATCAGCAAGCGATGGTGCCCAGTAGGTGCGTGCCCGTGTCCTCTGGTGAGACGCTCCCGTCCCCGGGCAGGGGGTCCCGTGGAACCCCTGTGAGCAGTCACAGTAGCATTGCGGGGAGATGGACGGGCTGCTGTGTCCCCTGCGGGGCCCTGTCCCCCCCCACCGGGCTGGGCTCCTCCCCCCCCCAGGCTGGCCTGCCCCCTCCCCCCCGACTGGGCTCACTCCTCCCGAAACCACACTCGCCTCCCTATGTGGCTCTTACAGATTCAATCCATCATTTCCTTTTAGGGTCAGAAAGAAATTCCTCCTCTCTCTCACCCTCCGTGTGAAGAATCCAAACTTCCCTGGCCTACTCCGACCATCGCGGGGGGATGACAGGACACACCTAGGTCACATGGGTGTCGTTATCCCAGGCAATGGGGGGTCAGCAAGTGTCAAGGCCTGGACACCACCTGAGTTCCAGCAGGCACCAGATGGTGGGTGGAGTCTGCTTCGGGGAGTCAGGAAAGTGTCCCAGACGCCCACGGGGCCTTGGATCCCAGCACGGTCAGGGCCACACGGAACAACGAACACAGCTGAGCACGGCTCTCAGCACCAGTGAGGCCAAAGTGGTCACTGGGCTCCTGGAACTTTCCACCTCATGTGCCCCCCGCCATGTTCACCCACAGCTGCTCCCAGAGAACGGGCTCTGGGCCTCAGGACCCTGATCCCCTCAGAGGAGGAGGATCCCAGCAGATCGCAGCAGCCCAGCTCAGAGCCGGGCCTTCTGGAACATTGGCATATTGTGGAGGGGTGCCCATCGACCCAGAGGAGCCGTGCAGACAACATCAGTGCCTTAGACTGGGGCAGATGAGCATCCCTGAGACCCTCGTCGTCACCTCAGTTCTCACCTCTGAGCTGGAAAACTGGGATGGAGTCTGGTGGCGAGGGTCCTGGGCACCTGCCGCTGGGCACCCCCACGGGGGCTCCCGGCCCCTGACTAAGCGGCGCTGCCTGCTCAGGGAAATGCAGAAACCACGGACACAAGCCTCAACCAGGCTGCCCCTGTGCTAGACACACAAAGGCCGTCGGTGCTTTCAGAGGGCAGACAGGGGTGAGGTGAGGAGGGTTAGCTCCTGACGTGGGAAAGAGCACAGGTGTTTGAGGAAGCCCCACCCTCCCCCATCCGGTGTGGTTCCCAAAAATAAAGGACATAATTCCTGTAAAAGCAATTTAACTCCTTTTTTTTTAAATGCTTATTTATTTTTGAAAGAGACAGAACATGAGCAGGGGAGGGTCAGAGAGAGAGGGAGACACAGACTCTGAAACAGGCTCCAGGCTCTGAGCTGGCAGTCAGCACAGAGCCCGACGCGGGGCCCGAACCCACGAACCGCGAGATCATGACCCAAGCGAAAGTCGGTCGCTTAACCGACTAAGCCACCCAGGCGCCCCAGTTTTTCTTTAAAGAAGGAAAGACGTGCATCTGCAAACAGAATAACTAAATATGCTAGAATCACATTTCCCACAGTAGTAGGGGTGCTGTGTGGACCGTGTGCCTAAGTTCTCATATTTCAAGATATGGAAACAATTGCCTTTTAACAAATCCGGCGGATTTGCCGGATTACTGACGTGCCGTGTGCTGTCAACGGAAGTCTCTCGGGAAGGAGGGTGTCTTTGTTCCTGGGAACCCTGGGAAAAGCCTCCGGGGAGAGGACACTGGGGGGCGAGGGGTACAGGCGGCCGAGGTTCAGTGAAGCGCGGGTGTGGCTGAGCGCGCACTGCATGGCAGGCTGGGGGGCCCTGGAGAAGTGCTCTGGGCGCTGGGGAGGAAGTCGAGAGGCCCGCAGGACAGATGGAGCGGTAAGTCCTGTCACTGAGCGCCCGGTGCCAGCAGGCAGAAGCCTGGCCCCAGAGCACAGGGAGCCACAGAGCGGCTCGCTAGAGGCAGGTGACCCGCGTGAGTGACAGAGCTGGGGACTGTCTAGCCTCCTACGATCTCCATGCCCCATCAGACACTGTGCGGGGGTGCGGGCGCAGACGCAGGCGCCCCCACGTGGGGGAGCACTGTTGAGGGCATCCCTCGGAGAGCACTCCGGGAGGCACAAAGGCCCCCAGCACGGTGCGCCTCACCCTGGGACCGTGAAAGCGGACACAGCGTCACGACCAGCGGCAGGCGCGTCCCACCCACATGCAGCACTCGTGCACCACTGACTCCGGGGTTTGTCTTCCAAACTCTTCTGCCCCAAAAGGAACCAAGATTCTGGAGAGTGGCTGATGCATCCCTTCGGGCAGGAGGAGTCAGGAGGGGTCTGTGTACTGGAAGAGTGGCCCCCCCCCCAGTTCACGTCCACGTGGTCCCTGCAAACGTGGCCTTGTTTAGGTCATGTGTTGTCTTTGCAGAAGTAGGTCGGCTTAGGATGAGGTCATTGCAGTAAAGCCCATGGCTGGTGTCCCGAAGAAGGGGAAGTCAGGCACAGACCCAGAGGGAAGACGACCACGGGGACACGGAGGCGGAGCCAGTGGCCTCCCCTGCGGCCTCCAGAGGGCGTGTGGCCCTGCCGAGTCCTCCGTCAGGACCCCTGGCCTTCGGGGACTGTGGGGGGGCAAGGGGCCGCGGAGTTCATGGACCATGGGCTGCCGGGGTTTGTCACATTTGCTACGGGAGCCACAGGGAGCGGGGACAGGCTGCCACACGCTGTTCCCGTGAACGTCACACACTAAATCTGCGATCCAACCTTTACTTCTTTAAGAAGATCTAATCCAATTAGAACCAACCTCTAAATGCTCAAGAAAATGTAGTTTCAAAGCCACATTTACTCGATGAGCATTAACCAAGTACTCATCTCTGTGACCGCGGTCCTCCGTGTGCACAGAGCCTGGGCTCTTCCAGAACCAACAATAATCAGGGCTATGGCCACCCCGTCGCCTTATGGACTCACTCGTTTGTGCCGGAACTAATTTCTAAAACCTCCCGGGTGCTATTGTCACAGGTGGGGGGAGGGGCAAAGACGCAGGAGGCCTGGGGACCACCCCGATTTGCTCCGGGCCCCTGGGTGGGGGGACACGGGTTAAGTAGGTGGTGGGGACGCAGTTTGGGAGGGCCTGAGGGGGGAGGGGACCAGCAGACTGGAGGGCCTGCCCCCTGCCAGGAGGGTGGGTCGTGGAAGCCTTTCCAGAGGGGAGGGGGCCACCCCGGCCTCCGGAGGACAAGGGTGGAGGCTCGGATAAGACCGGGCAGAGGCCTATCCTGGGGAGGGAAGGGAGAGGCAGGCGGGGCAGGTGGCGCCGGAGTGGGTGAAGCTGGGGTGCCGTGCTCCGAACACAGACCTTCCTCCTTGGGAAAAACACGGAGCGTTTCCAAGGCAACACCTTGGTTAAAAGGGGGATGAGTCCAACTCCATCTTCTCCCACGCACCCCACAGCGTTCCCATCTGCCTGGGGGGGCTTCGGGTCCTCTTTCAGAACCAGGGCCAAGCCAGCCGCCTTCCGGCCCTGAACGCTCGCATGCTTTTCCTGGGGGTTCTTCGTGCTGCCTTTGTGACCAGCTACATCGCTTTATATGCTGCTCGCAAATGCGCGCATAGTCACAAAATAACATGCTGTGAAGTGTCAGATTCCGCAGCCAAAAGGAGCCCTGAGGAGGTGCTAAGAGCCCTGAGGAGGTGCTAAGAGCCCAACTAGAGTAAATTCCAGCTTTTTGGAAGGCAGCTTGAAGGGAGTGCTTTCCACTGAGGAGTCCTGACTGCCAGTGTGCCCCGAGGCACACACACCCACTCCACGCCCCGGGGCCTCCATCCTGTTCTGGTTCCAGACCTCACACACCAGACTACCCGGGAGGTAGTAGCCAGCCAGGCCCGTCTTCAGGCGCCTGAACACAGGTCACCCACAAACATTTCATTGCTTTCTCCTCACTCACCACAAACAAAAGTTCCGCGCCTTCTAGTCAGTACAGCAGTGCTTCCTTTTGTCTGCTTTAGTGAAAACTCTCGGGATAAGCTGGATCAAAATAAAACAGTCAGCAAGTTGACTTTTTGTTTTTTAGCCAAACCACAAGCAGCCTTGCCGTGACGGAATAGTTTTAATCTGACAGGTGTCCATCATCAGGAAGGAAAGGCCTCCGTCTGGCATAGCTGAGCTAGAGCGCTCTTATCTTCCCTCAGAGCCGAGGCAGCACATTGTCCCTGGTCACTTATTAGTTTTTGAATGTTTATGTATTTATTTTGAGAGGGAGAGTACGAGCAGAGGAAGGGCAGAGAGAGAGGGAGAGAGAAACCCAACCAGGCTCTGAGCTGTCAGCACAGAGCCAGACGTGGGGCTTGAACCTACAGACTGTGAGATCATGACCTGAGCTGAAGTTGGATGCTTAGCCAACTAAGCCACACAAGCATTGTCCCTGGGTCACTTTAAACAGCATTACCAAAATACTGAGGACCTCAGTTATGCAAGGACAATAGACTTTAGTGAAAGGAGAAAGATATATACGATCTGAAGAGAAATCAGAGTATTAGACTTTAGGATTAAAATAATTACAGGTCCTAAACTATGATCTTTCACGTCGATCAAATAAAAACACAAGTACGTATTGAAACCATGTACATAAACCCACATCTTGTGAGAAGATTTTTTAAGAAGGTATTCCTTCCCTGTGACCGGGGGAGCTCTCCACATTAATATAAAAACCAGCTGACTGACAATATCTTGCTTGTTTTCAGGGCAGCCTACAAAACACACAATAAACAAATAATTGCTCATTGTTTTGACTTTGAGATTAAAAGGCCGTAAGTCCCAGGAGGTGACTTGCTGTGTGGGCAGTGACGGGCCCCGAGCCCGACATTGTGCTGCCCTGGATCAGGCTCCCCGTGGGCCCACTTTGTAGTGACTGGACCTGCCTTCCTACCTGACCCGGCAAGGTCATGGGTGTTGGAGGTCATGGAGGGTCAGGCTGAGCTCCTGTAATTCCGGAGCAAGGGAAAGCACCGGGCAGGAGCAAGTCAAAACCACCTGCAGAGGAAGAGGAGCCACTCTCCGCTAATCATGGGGCCCAGCGGGGTTGCGCACTGAGCCCCCGGCTTTATCTCTGTCCTGCCTGGCCTGTCACAGGGCAGACTCAGCTCTTGTGATGAGCAGAGAGGGGTGGTCTTGCTTGGGGTCCGGGAGCTCATTCTTTCAGGAGCCCCCTGTTCTCCAACTGGTATTGTTCTAACCACTTGTCCTGACCAGGAAGCCTGGGGACAAGAGGGTCTCTTCCTTCAGAATCTCTGGGTGGCTTGGGTTGCCCTAAAGCTGTACGTGTTCTCCATCATCTGTGGCAGTGAATATACTATCAGCTTTTTATGTCTCTTTTAGCAAAACAAACAAACAAACAAAACCCTGTAATTGGGAAGTCACACCCAACGTGGGGTGCTGAGGGATGGCCCCCTTCTCCTGCCCAGGACCATGTTTCCAGGCTCATATCTGAGCGTCACCTTCCCGGACGCGTACTGGGTCTCCCGGTAGCCCGTGCAATACACAGTCTTGGCGGTACCATCGGGGTACTCCCTCCTCTTGAAGCAGGACGTTTGAATCTCCCTCTGCCCGTTGCTGAGCACAATGGTTCTGTCGCCGTTCCTGACGGGGAAGAGCAGCCTGGTAAGCTGGCCGTGCAGTGGCCGGAGCTCCCCGTGCAGCTTGTCGGGGCTGCGTGGCAAGAGCGCGGTCTGGAATCCTCATTCCAGACCTTAGTGAGTGAGGGCGGAGAGCGTGAGAGGCCAGAGCAAGGCGGGTGTGTGTGTGTGTGTGTGTGTGTGTGTGTGTGTGCACACAGAGGGTTCAAGGCATCGGCAGAAACTTGGTCGGGCTGAGAGCAGGTGCTCAGGAGAATGACAGGCGGGGGGGCCCTGCTCACATAGTCGTAGGTCCTGAACTGAGGTTTTACCTTGGGGGGCAGGGACTTCAGGGGAGTGAGGGGCAGATGGATAATCATTCAAGAAAAGTGACCCAGACCCACGAGACTGCTGTGTGAAGACAGCTGGGAAGAGACTACCATGACGCCCGGCCACGGGCAGCTGGCCATGGGCAGCTGGCCGGGGGCGAATGGCCCCGGGTTTTACCCTCTGCACACTGGGAGTCAGGGAGGAGCGTGCCCTCGGAGCACTTTGTGTGTCTCAGAGTCGGCCTGCTATCGACTCGGGCTTCTGGACGGGGCGTTCCTGGAAGACCCCAAGCGTTTTTAGGTTGCAACACAAGGTGGCCAAAGTCAGGGAAGAGAACAAAAAACCAGTGTTTCCATTCATGTTCTCTATAGAGGGACCCAGATCAAGGTCACAGACAAAACCTCAGGGTCAGCGACATTATTTTCTATTATTACACTTACACAAATACTTAGACTTCTACAAAAAAATTTAATGAATCTGAAGAAATTATTGACTATGCACACCTGTCATGATACTGACCTTTCCACACTGATGGCTGTGCCATCAGGAAACACAGTCTCTTCCCGTCCATCACGCAGATGTTTCACAGTCCCATCCGGAAACACGACTTCCTTTGAGCCATCACGGTGGTATTTTTCTGTGGAATACATGTTTGAACAATGCCTCTTCCTAATCTCCCTGCTGCGGCTCTCAGCTGCTCAGACGTATTTTACCGCAACCCATGCCATAAAGGATTAGTATTCAAGACTTGGTTTTTATATCCTGCTCTATCATTTCTAATTTATATTTGAATATCTTACTCCAGGCAGATTGATCTGCTTTGGTCCCATTTGAACACGAAATTTGCATTCTCCCGACTCTGCTCAAATTATCTCCCTCGCTACAATTTTCCTTTCCTTCCGTATGTTCTCTGGCTCCTTCAAGGTGGAAAGTCGTCATCAATCCCAGAGCAGGTGACCTTGAGCTTCTGAATGCCTTTGACCTTTACTGTTGTTAACCTTCACTCTGGTTTTTCACAGTGACTTGAGGTGTCAGACCCGGTAATGTGGTAAAGACCCTGGACAGCCTCCATGGTAGCCCCACGGACAACACTGACTTTCAACCTTGAGCAAGAGATAGAACACTCAGGGCCACCTGGCTGGCTCAGTAGGTGGAGCGTGCAACTCTTGATCTCAGGATCTTGAGTTCAAGCCCCACTTTGGACATGGAGCCAAAAAAAGAGGGGCGCCTGGGTAGCTCAGTCAGTTAAGCATCTGACTCTTGATTTTGGCTCAGGTCATGATCCCAGGGCTGTGGGATCAAGCTCTGAGTCAGGCTCAGCACAGTGTATGGAGCCCGCTCAAGATTCTCTCTCTCTTCCTCTGCCCCTCTTCCCTGATCACGTGCTCTCTCTCTCTCTAAGAAAAGAGAGAGGGACAGAACCCTTAGAAGCCACAAGGCTCAGTGCGCAGCACGCTGAAACACGGTCATATTTACCGTTATTATCAGAACAAAGGCAGGGTTATATTGCACACACATGGTGTAAATCACTATTTGCATGTGTTTGAGAACAAAAGATGTTAAATAAAATTTAACTAATCAGTTTCTATTTGCCTTTTTAAAATATTCATTTGCTTCTTTTTGTTTGGTTAAGTGTTGGCAGTTGCTGGCAGACAAGAGGCAGCATGAGAAAAATATACGTGGTGACAAACCTGACAACTGAAGAAAAATTCTGCCCATTAAAATGGTTTTTAACACAAGAACTGTAAAAGTTTTTTTTAACATTTATTTATTTTTAAGAGAAGGAGAGACAGAGTGCAAGCAGGGAAGGGGCAGAGAGAGAGAGGGAGACACAGAATCCGAAGCAGCTCCAGGCTCTGAGCTGTCAGCACAGAGCCTAACGCAGGGCTCGAACCCACGAACCGTGAGATCATGACCTGAGCTGAAGTCGGACGCTTAACCAACCGAGCCCTCCAGGCATCCCAATGTAAAAGTTTGTTTTTATGTGGTAATTGACGGACACCCAGAAGAAATTGGGGGCTCTTTGGAGCAAGACTTTTGAGCACTGCTGAATTCACAGACCTCCCGGTGCATACTCAGTGCACAAATCTGCTGATTTGTATGAACTTACAGGAACGCGTGCATAGAACACGAGTTCTACAAAATGGCAGGACTGGAAAATGAGGCCTTGACTCTGCCCCCGAAACGCCGGTCATGGTTACGGGACGTGCCTCCAAGGACAGTAATAGGACCTAGAATCCCTGCGAGAGAGAACGAAGTGGTGTGTTGGAGACATCTGCACGGACCAGCCGAGACGCGGAGAGTTTAAAAGGCCTCAGGACAGAAATGAAATACAGGTCGACCTGTCCTTTCTCTTTCAGGACACCTGGATTAACCTTCCTGTCACCCGAGGCGGCACGTGTGACTAGCAGGTGTCATGTCTCATTCTCATAACTTGCTGACGACAGCGATTGCTCACGTGTCCACCTCCCTGCTTACCTACAAATCAGAGCCCAAAGCACAGCTTGTGACGGTAAAGACCCAGCGAGATACACGTGAGTGCAGGTTGGAAAGGACCTCAAGGGGGACGTGGGTGTTCCTGCTCAGGGGCCCCTGGGCCGTTGACAAGGATCTGTTTACCCATGACCTTGACTCTCTCAGCACCCGGCAGATCAGACGCTCTGAAGACATGGCCACTGCCAAGTATCTAGTGATGCTAAATAAAATGACACGGGAAATGCATGTAACTGAGCTCCGACGCGCCAGGAAAAGGCCAAGCAGAAGCAGGTGGAAGGGAAGCCTGAGCGTGCAGTCTCCCAGCTCCTGGTGGCTCTCTGACAAACGGAGCCTCACCCCTGCTTGCAGACGACACGCTCAGGGGTCACTCCCTGGGCCTGAGGATGAGCCAGGAAACGTCCACCCTGGGCACAGGGAGTGCACCAGGGAAACTGCCCTCTTCTGAGCTTCCTGAAGAATCTATGGAGTCCGGTCACCCCCAGGCTGGAAAACAACCCAGAGGAGCCCCCGAGCCTCTGGTGGAAGCAGGCACGGAGCTTCTGGGTTGTCAGCCCCAGGCTGGCCCTGCCCGGGGACCGCCACCCCCGCCAGGGGGCTGCCGTGCCACCAGGGAGTGGGGACCAGAAATGGACCAGAAAGTGAAAGTACACAGAGTGGTTTAAGAATTAAAGGAAGAAATTGAAAACAAGAGAGAAGTGATATTAGCAAAAACAAAGGAGAGAGAGAGAAGGAGAGAGTAGGTTATTTTGAAAAAGACCAAAATGAAGTGAAAATAAAATCTTTCAAATTAAAGCTAAAACTAGGGCCCCTGGGGGGCTCAGCCAGGGAAGCATCCAACTCTTGATTTCAGCTCAGGTCATGATCTCACGCTCAGGGAGCCCGAGTCGGGCTCTGTGCTGACGGTGCAAAGCCTGTGTGGGCTTCACTTTCTCTCTCTCTGACTCTCCCCTGTTCGTACGCACTCTTTCTCAAAATGAATAAATAAGATTAAAAAATTAAAGCCAAAAGGTGCATTAAGTTGCATGTAATATTCAGCTAAAGAGATAATTGATGAGCTGGGAGATGATTTTAAAGAAATTACCCAGAGTCTAAAAGAGACGAGAAAGACACAATGTGGTGAGCAAAGGAATGTAGGAGGGGGTGGGCCCACACACTCGTAACTGGAGGGAGAGGAATGGTGGGGGAGGGTCGTGCCAGTGAGGACGGGAGCTGAGAACTTCCGCGAACCTATAACGGGGCTTCCGGATAAGATGGACGGCACCCCTTTAAATCTGAGTTTCAGATAAGCACTAATGATTTCTGGAATAAGTGTGCCCACATACTTACACCAATCATTCGTTGCTTTTCTGAAACTCAGATTTAATGGGGCCTCCTGCTAAGTCAGCGGCCCCGCTCACGGAGGACGGGAGTCGTTCAGGCAGAGGGGATGGCCGTCCCCAACACGCTGAGTGCAGGCACACCTGTGACCAGACCTCTCATAAGGCACCAGGAGACATAACGTTTCCTAAGAGCAGCGAGCAGGAAGTAAATCACCTTCAAGGGAAGAAATTAGGTAGGATGCTACAGGAGATGGAATCTTCCAGATGCTGAGAAAAATTTATATTTCTCCTTTTGCTCAAAATTCTCTAGTGATTTCTCTCCGCATGAAAGTCCAGGTTCTCACCAGGGTCTCCACACACTGTGACCACACCCCCTACGCTGCTCCAACGCCACCCTTGCCATGCTGGCCTCCCTGATTGAGTTTCCTCAGACATTTCACTTGCTCTGCCCTCTCTAGAATGCTTTCACCTGGTATGCATAGAGCTCTCTGCTTCTCATGTATCACCTCCTCAGGGAGGGCCTCCTGGATCACCCTACAGATAGAGAATAGGAAATAACAGCAAGGTGCAGAATAATAGCGTCCTCTCCCTGTGTATCCCCTTCTCCACTGTCCACCTTTTTTACTTTTCTCTACAGCCTTTAATAAGTGTTGATTTTTATTTACTTACTTCCACCTTTTTGTTGTTTGCTCCCCGCCCCCAGTAAAAGGTCATGAAATGAGGACATCTTACACATCTGGCCACCATCCCATGCGCGGCGGGCAAGCAGCGCCTGGCCCAGGGGAGGCACGTAAGATCTACGGAGCAAACGGTGCAGAATTCTCTATCAAGACTAACGACTGTTCGTGAGCAGATGTGAGATAAAGGGCAGTTTCCGGAAGAAGCACAACGGGGCTCCACTTGCAGAAGGCACTGGAAGGAAGCTGCACCGAACGACGCCCTAGAGAAGAGCCGGCCAAGAAATGTACATAAATGTGAAAAACTCTAAAGCAAACCTCAACTGCCTAAATGAACAGTGATAATCATAACACATTTGGGGATAAAAAACCAAGGAGGGGCGCCTGGGGGGCTCAGTCGGTTATGTGTTCGACTTCAGCTCAGGTCACGATCTCACAGTTCGTGGGTTCGAGCCCCGCGTTGGGCTCTGTGCTGACAGCTCGGAGCCTGGAGCTGCTTCAGATTCTGTCTCCCTCTCTCTCTGCCCCTCCCCCACTTGCACTCTGTCTCTCTCTCTCTCTTTCTCTCTCTCAAAAATAAATAAACATTAAAAAATTTTTTAAATAAAATAGCGGTAGGAGCACGCAGGAGGGAATGAAAGGCAGACCATGGTCCTGGCTCCTTGGGGGGCACGGCAAGCCTGCGGACCAGTTCTTGTCTTGAGAAGTAAACCCTCTGGTTAAAGACAATCCTCTCCAGATTATGTGTGTTTCATTGCATGTTGCTAATGAGGACGCACCTTACCCCACAGATTTAGAAAAAAGCGAAAGATAAAGAGCAGAGAAAGGCACACCAGGCAAATGTTAACCGCGAGAGGGCCCCACGTGGGCCCACTGCGTTGACCAGACCCAAAGGGAAGGATCATTGCTGAACCATCAAAGCAGAACCCAGCTCACCAGAAAGAAAAATCACAAACAGATTTGGATAAATCCACAGTCAGAGCAACACATTTTCAGCACACTTCTCTCACTACTTAATAACTCAAGCTGATTTTAAAACCAGTAAAAGAACAAAACATTTGAAAAAGCTAAAAGCCTTCATCTGAAGGCATTTATGCATTTATGCACCATACACAACGTTCTCAAGCACCTATGGAACATTTTGG